TCTTTTATGTCAGATATTTTTGTAACAGGTATAAAATATTTAACAGTCTGAATCAACTCTCATGCAGTGTTTTACAGCTACTTTGACTTAATAACCTGTATACACATTCCTGAGCCTTGAGCGTATCATACAATGATGGTTCATGCCCACTTTCCATGCCACTTGCAGCCAAATAAACTGCAAACTCAGGCGTGTGAGTTACTTCAGTTTTATTGCCACAGTTGCAAGGCACTGTTCACACTGCAGCTTACCTTCTATGTGTTCATGGACGTCTTGCTGATAAAGTCATCTGCATTAGATACAGTGGTACAAATCTTGAGACCACAGAGTTGGAAGAACTGCATTTATTCTCAACACCGGACAAAGGTGTTTTCCTTCCTTCTCTCTCCTCCCCTCCCCACCTCACCCCTCCCCTCCCCTTCCCTGCCCTTCCTCCTTCCTTCCTTCCTCCTTCCCTCCTCTCCCACACCTTCCCTCCCTCCCACTCCTTCCCTCCCTCCCTCCCTCCCTCCCTCCCTTCCTTCCTTCCTTCTTTTTGACAGAGTTTTACCATGTTCCACAGGCTGGTCTCGAACTATGGAGCTAAAGCGATCCACCCGCCTCAGCCTCCCAAAGCGCTAGGATTACCGACATGAGTCACCACACCTGGCACTGTTTTCATTCTTTCTAATGATACATTAGAAATCATATACATTGCTTTGATCTCTAAAATTTCATCTATCTAAATATTTATTGAGTACTTACTCATTTATAAGCTCCTCAAGGGCCTGTCCATATTTTTATATCCCTTTCATAAGCAGTGAACTGTATCAGGCACATACTGGGAGCTAAAATGAATACTTGATCAAGTAATTGTTTTATGGCAGCGTTTCCCAAAGTATATGCCATGGTCCACTGAAGGTTGATAGGATCCATGTGGTGGGCACTAAATGAATAAATTGAAAATACAATCCCTTCTATTCCAGAGTTCCTTGATTTTCACTGTTACATACTATAGCCCACTTACTAGTAGATAGGTGAGTTTACTAAAGGTTCTAAAATTAGATATAAAGATTTGGCTGAGTTGTTGAGTATTCCACTGAAATAGTTTATTCGCATGCAATACTTGTCAACATGGCAAAACTCTCACTGTGTGTGCATATACACAGACTTTTCATTACATTTGGGAAGCGTCTTTGTTATCAAAGCTTCACAGGTTTTTGCCTTGAGTTGCTCATGCTTTTCAATTCGTATTATCTTTGATCTAACTAATAGTTCCAAAAGTTTCCTTTTGAGGTTATTGAGGTCTTTATTTTAATTGGAAAGTGGAATAGGATGGAACGTATGATTACATGATTTTTGCCTTGTGTGAGTTGTCCCTAATCAAAATTTTAAAGAGCTACAGCTTTTGGCAGGATGATTTTGGGGGCCCATGAGGGCACATAGAGAGAGACATGTAACCCCAATTTATGGGGAAGCTTTTAAGAGAAAAGTTATATCTAAGTTGAGATGCAAAGAATGAAAAGCAAGCTGACTTACAATGTGATCTGTAGAGTACAAGTTTAGAAAAAAAAATCAATGTTTTTGTATTTTTTTTTTCAGGAGTTGGTATGTTTTATTAGGGAAAGTTTTTTTAACAAAATGTGGCTTTTATTTACAGAATTTAATGCCTATGGGGACTGTTCAACCCAGGAAGGATAATCGTTAAGCCTGCTAATGTATTTTCTTATTTTCAGTCTACATACAAATATTTTGTTTGCTGCTCATTCATAAAAACCCCAATATCGTAAATGACAAATAAATCCTCCCATCCCTTAATTAAATATACAAACAGCTTGAAAAACACAATTTAAATTGGCTTAATCTTGAAGTGTAATACAATGAAACTGAAAACTAAACATTTAAAGTCTTATACCAAATAGTAAAATAGTCGAAGACCTTCAGGATCCTTTGATTGATTTACATCAATAAGAGAACTTATTTTTGACATGTAAAAGATATGTGCTCATCTCCCATTACAATTTTGAGCTCTTATTGGTCAACCCTATTGGGGGAAGCCACAAAGCATCACCTTCTTTTGTAATTTCACTGTCATCAATAATTCTCTTCAGTTGTTCCATTACACTCTTGTGCACATAAGCCTCTTTTCTGATTATTACATTGTTTTTGTAATTGCTGTTGTTGGCACATCTAAGCTTTCTGTCCATCCAAAACCCGAACTCCAGAAACTCGTGCCCAAACTTGCCTTTGTGCTCCATGTAGTAGTGCAGGTAGAAATCGCTGGTCATCATTTTTGCTCCCGGTAAGCCCCAGATCAAGATTATTTTTTAAATATCTTTAAAAGTTTTAAATTTAATTTGCCATGTTGTCTTGTAAGCTACATTTCTATTTTTTCCCTTATAAGAGCTTTGGGATCTTTAAATGGATAATCTTTATCACTGACATAATTGTAAATGCTTTTGAGTTCCACACCCCATTTCCAGCTAAAGCAAAATGGCGCCATTGATTGTACTTGCCAGAAAATTAATTTTAAGATTTGCCATGACATGTTTCTCCCTGTGGGAACGTGCCCTTGTGTGGGAACAGTGCTATCTTGTCTGTAACAATGAGGAAAAGATTGAGATATATTCACTGTATACTATACATTGAACGCTTACTATGTACAACGCAGTGTTCTGTGTGCTGGAGACAAAGCAGTCCCTAAGTACAAAGCAACGCATTTGCCCTCCTAGTACTTACAGTCTATTGGGGACAACAGACAAAAATAAGTTACCATATAAAATGCCAGGTAGGAATGAGTATTATAAGAAAAGGAGAGAGAGAGTGATGGGGCTGGAGGAGGCTATTTTAGATACAGTGGTTGGAAAAGCCCCTATAATGAGGTGACAACTGAACAGAGACTTGAATGAGGTGGAGGAGTGAGCCATATAGCTCTCTGGGGAAAGAGTATTCCAGGTCAAGGGAACAGGAAGTACAAAGGTCCTGGGGTGAGAATATGTTTTATTTTATTTTAAAATTTTCTTTCACAAGGAGGCAAATACATCTTTTCTTTTTTTTTCTTTTGAGAGACAATCTTGCTCAGCCACCCAAGCTGGAGTGCAGTGGTGCAATCTCGGCTCAATGCAACCTCCGCCTCCTGGGTTCAAGCAATTCTCCTGCCTCAGCCTCCTGAGTAGCTGGGATTACAGGCTCCTGCCACCATGCCCAGCTGATTTTTGTATTTTAAGTAGAGACAGGGTTTCACCATATTGGCTAGGTGGGTTTCGAACTCCTGAACTCAGGTGATTCACCCGTCTTGGCCTCCCAAAGTACTGGGATTACAGGTATGAGCCACTGCCCCCATCCAAATACATCATATTTTAAATTGACTGCCTGCAGAATAAGTAGAAAGTAACATACTGGTATGGAGAGTAATATGTAAACTTGGCATTTAAGGAGGAGAGAAAAAGATAAACAAGTAATTTTTCAACTTTCAGCTGTCAGGCAGCTTCACAATTGTACTTTATAAAAATAAGAGTTCTGGCCAGGTGTGGTGGCTCATGCTTGTAATCCCAGCACTTTGGGAGGCCGAAGTGGGTGGATCATGAGGTCAGGAGTTCAAGACCAGCCTGGCCAACACGGCAAAACTCCATCTCTACTAAATATACAAAAATTAGCTGGGCATGGTGGCACACCTGTAATCCCAGCTACTTGGGAGGCTGAGGCAGGAGAGTCGCTTGAACCTGGGAACTGGAGGTTGCTGTGAGCTGACACCACACAAAAAAAAAAAAAAAAAAGAAAAAGAGTGAGACTCTGTCTCAAAAAAAAAAAAAAAAAAAGAACAGTTCTGTCAAAGGATAGATCATTGGCTCATAGGCCCCAGGGCATTTTTATTTCTCTTTCTCGTATCTATATATGTCAGAATGGTCTTCTGTCTTCGCCTTCCTCTGCTTGTTTGGACAGGTGTCAGAAAATAGGATAGGCATTTTTCCTATAATCACAGCTTTTCTCCTTATGTTATATGCACATATGCTTAATCCTGTTCAAGTCTTTGGTCTAGCTGGTGTTTATATTTTTTAAAAAATAGGCAGAATTGAGTGATTAGTGAAGCTGATTCTACTTACTTTGAAATATCACATGAGGCAGTGATCTATGCCTAAACGCTGGTTTCCAAAACAAAATATTTCTATGGATTTTTCTTTCTATTACCCTTAGCCCACTGGTCCGTTGCATCTGTGAGCAAGGTGATCATCATGAGGCTCTGATTAATGTACCATCAGGATAAGTAGCTCCTCCATGTAAGAGTTGAAGCAAGTTAATGATGGGAATAAATAAATCCATAGTATAGCAGGTATCAATACTGACCACTGTTGCTCATCAGAGAGCGTGTCTGCCCAACAAAGAAAGCACTTCAGCTGACCCCCTGATATTTTCTCATCCGTGCGGCCAACAATGTAGTCAGTTTTAAGACAAAATATCACACAGGGGCTTTCTTAGAGCTATAGGAAAAGAGAACCTATCTTCTGCTTGGAGATGCTGAGAGGGTAAGAAGTAATTTAAGAGCCAACAGGCATCATCTTGTTATCATAAACAGAAATGCTAACTAAAAATGGTGCCAACCCAAGAAAAGCAGAGCTGGGACGTTGTTTGAAAACCTGGAGCCACCCATACCTGAAGCGAGGATACCACTCTCTGTTTCAGTTTTATGAGATGATTAATTCTGAGCAGAATGTAAATGTTTTCTGCATTTTTGTCTTCGATTAAGAAAATGAGTTGGATTACTGTATGATATGGTTTGGATTTGTGTCCCTGCCCAAATCTCATGTTGAAATGTAATTCCCAGTGCTGGAGGCGGGGCCTGCTGGAAGGTGATTGCATCATGGGGGTGGTTTCTCATGGTTTAACACCATCCCGCTTCGTGTTGTCATCCCAATAGTGCGTTTTCATGAGATTTGGTTATTTAAACATGTCTGACATACCTCCGTCTCCCTCTCTTCTCTCTCTCCTCTCCCTATCTCTCTCTCTCACACACACACACTCACTCCTTCCATGTAAGATGTCTGCTCCTGCTTTGCTTTCCACCATGAATTAAAGCTCCCTCAGGTCTCCCCAGAAGCAGATGCATCCATGCTCCCTGTACAGCCTGAGGAGACATGAGCCAATTAAAACTCTTTTCTTTATAAATTACTCAGTCTCAGGAATTTCTTTATAGAAATGTGAGGACAGACTAATACACTGTGACCTGCAAGTCAAAGGTAATTTTCATCTGACTCCTTGCTGGTACCTCCCAGCAGGATACTAGAGCATCCAATAGACAGGAGAAGAGGTGATTAGACCTGTATTCCTCAATTGCCAGGAGGAAAAATTTCAATGCTGGACATACAATGGAATCATCCAACATATGTGAATCGGTTAGGGTAGTTTTGTGAGTTATGAAACCTAAGCCTTTATTCTTTTTGCTCTGCTGTAAATTGAATAGAATAAAAATCCACCACAACCACATGCAATCTGAGCCTTGCCCTTCAAAAATTTTAGCCAATCAAAGCCTACATTGAAAAGATATCTTCTGCCGGGCATGGTGGCTCACACCTGTAATCCCAGCACTTTGGGAGGCCAAGGCGGGCAGATCACTTGAGATCAGGAGTTCGAGACCAGTCTGGCCAACATGGTGAAAACCCATCTCTAATAAAAATACAAAAATTAGCTGGGTGTGGAGGTGCCCAGTAGCCAGGGCCCAGTAGCTGGGATTGCAGCTACGTGGTGGCCCAGTACCTATAATCCCAGCTACTTGTGAGGCTGAGGCAATGGAACCCGGGAGGCAGAGTTTGCAGTGAGCTGAGGTCATGCCACTGCACTCCAGCCTGGGAGACAGAGTGAGACTCTGTCTCAAAAATAAAAGAAAATATATCTTCTAGAAAAAAATGCATAGATTGGACTCCACTAAAATTGAAGACTTCTGTGCATCAAAAGGCATTGTCAACAGAGTAGGAAGGCCATCCGCAGAATAGGAAAAAATATTTGCAAATTATATATATTACAGGAGATTAATACCCTAAATATATAAAGAACTCTTACACCTCAGCTACAACAAAACAAATAACCTAATTTAAAAATGGGCAAAAGAACTAAACAAACATTTCTCCAAAGAAGATATGCAAATGGCCAATAAGCACATTTAAACATGCTCAACATCACTAATGACTGGGAAATGCAAATCAAAGCGATTAGGAAATACCACTTTACACCCATTATGATGACTATTATTATTTTTTTAAAGGTCAGATCTGGTAGCTCACACCTATAATCTCAGCACTCTGGGAGGCAGAGGCAGGGGGCTCACTTGAGCCCAGAGGTTCTGGGCAACATAGCAAGACCCTGTCTCTAGAAAAAAAAAATTTGTAATTAGCTAAGTGTGGCGGTGCACACTTGTAGTCCCAGCTACTTGGGAGGCTGAGGTGGGAAAATTGCTTGAGCCCAGAAGGCTGAGGGTGCAGTAAGCAACAATTGTGCCACTGCGCTTCAGCCTGGGTAACAGAGTAAGACCCTGTCTTCAAATAAAATAAAATAAAATAGAAACAGTAAATATGTGTTAGTGATAGAGACAGGTGGCAGCCAAAGATCTCCTGTTGAAACTCCACCCTTAAACCTAAAGCAGCCTGAAGGTTGAAAAACCGGACCACTGGTCCCAGATGAGGCCTGCCATTTCACAACTGATTCTTTCTGAATAATGCCCACCTGCACACTGCGGGGACGGTGTGGAGCCTCAGGAAGTTCATGGCGTTTGCCACGAGGAGGAGCCTGGCCTCTCCTGGTGCTGTGTGGTGACCTGGGATTCAATCTGTGAGGCGGTAAATCTTCTAGCAGGACTCTTTCTCTTTGCTAAGAGTTATTTTGCCTTTTTCCTTTTTGCCCAATAAATTCTGTTTTCCTCGCCCTTCTACGTGCCCGCAAGCCTAATCTTTCCTGGTCATGTGACAAGAGCCTGGTTTTAGCTGAACTAAGGAGAAAGTTCTGCATCATTAGTGAGGATGGTGAGAAATTGGAACCTTTGTACATTGCTGTGGAAATGCTGCAGCTGCTATGGAAAATAGTACGGTGTGTTCTCAAAAACTAAAAAATATGATCCAGCAATCCCACATCTGGGTATATACCCAAAGGAGTTGAAAATGAGGGCTAGAACAGATATTTGCACAGCCGTGTTCAGAATACTATTCATATTAGCCAAGGGGTGGAACCATGCCAAGTGTCCATTGACAGATGAATGGATAAGTGAAATGTGGGATGTACACATAATATGGAATATTACTCGGTCTTAAAAAAGGAAGGAAATTCTGATACATGCTATGACATGCATGAACCTTGATGACATTGTGCTAAGTGAAATAAGGCAGTCACAAAAGAACAAATACCATACAATTCCACTCATGTGAGGTACTTACAATAGGCAAAGTCACAGAAGCGGAAAGTAGAATGGTGGTTGTCAGGGGCTGGGGAAAAGGAAAATGGGACATTTTGTTTAATAGATATGGGGTTTCTTTTCAGAATGTTGACAAATTTCTGAAGATAGATAGTGATGATGGTTGTACAACAGTGTGAATGTACATAATGCCGCTGAATGGTTAAAAGGTAAATTTTAGGCAATATATGTTTTATCACAATAAAAATAAAATATAGCTTCCAGAGGAATTGTGCTTCATTTAACAAAAAGAAGATACTCCCAGTCTTAATCAGTTGGTGTTAGACAGGAAAATGGGAAGGGAAGGTGATTGGCTATGATGTTTCCGATTCATCAGCCAAACTAGGGTTTTTACATTCAACTAAATATGATAATTAGGTCATTGGCAAGAATGGACCCTGATTGCATGAGCTTTCATCTTTCAACGATAATAACAGAAGGAGGAAAAACAGACACTGGTTATATCTAATGCCCCTTACCTTTATTGCATCTTCAGTAGTTGTAGCAAGAAAGAAAAGCTTGTCTTTATTTTTAACATAGCAATAGCTCTGCCAGTCTTGTTTGGTTTAACTGTCTAGATTCTTCACTTCCCTCTAATGTTCTTCATGTAGTCAATATGAATTCACTCAAGTTTGGGTAGACGTAATGGTCAGTGGTTTTGTGCAGGTTGTTCTGTTTGTTCTCGATAGGTTCATTGTCAGCCCTTCTCTGTTTTATCCTCTGCTTCAGGAGGAGATCATTATGGGCTGCATCACCTGGGCTCCATCATTCTCTGGCTTCCAGCACAGTTTGGCCATCAAGAGGTAGCAACAGGAGATTTTTTAATTTTTTTTTTTTTTTTTTTTTTTAAAGACGGGGTTTCACCATGTTGGTGAGACCTGGTGATCCACCCGCCTCGAGCAACAGGAGATGAAGCAAGAAGGAGGAGAGTGGTCTAAGCATTCTCTGGATGCTCCCTGCCTCACCATGGTTTTGGCGTGGCTGGAATCCTCTCTCTCCCACTACTGCATCTGTAGGGCAGCTCCCCTCCCTTGACTATAGATCTCACTTCACCTTGGAAACACATTTCTCTTTCTTGTCCATTCAAGCTTAGGGGAGGTAACAGCCCCAATTGTTGCTAGTCCCTAGGTATTGCTTGATGCCTATTGGTTTCCTTAACCATGCCCAGATCCTTGACACAGTACTTTCATTTCATGCTCCTCAATTAACCCTTTGAGCATGTCATTCAGTTCTTTCCAAGACGTTGACTAACACAGACGTTCGTATGCCACCAACACTGATTCTTCTGATGGCCCTACTTCCCTAATAAATGCTGATACGCCGAGAGAGAGGAGTTTAAAAGCTCAGGTTGTCATTGATGTCTTGATGTCCACATCTCCTAAATTCACTAACTATATGTAAAGCATTTATCACAGTGCCTGGCCCACAGCAAGGGTTCAATAAGAATTACTGTTGTTGTATCATCATGTTCGTAACCAGAGAATGGCAACCATTGTCTTTTTTTATTCACTGAAGAGATGAACTTCATTTAACTGCTGATATTTTATTTCATTGTTATTGGGGGCTTAATACATGCCAGGCCACTTAGTGGCTTTACTGATTTAATCATAGCTCAGATCAGTGCTACGAGGTAGGTACTACAAAATTATTATTTTTGTCTGGCAGATGAGGATACCAAAGCTTAGAGAAGATGTGTGATTTGCCGAAGATCACACTAAGGGTAAGTGGTGAAGATGAAGTTTGAACACAGGCTACTGGCTCTAGAACCTATGTTCTTCTCAAGTCATCCACAGCCTGCCAAGATGAGACAGGCATGGTCCCTTTCTTCTTGGAGCTAGAGAGGAAAACAAGCCTTAAACGAGTAATTACAAATATGATGCATCTTACTAGGCAAACGTAATCTCGTCCAGAGAAAGTGACATTTAAGCTGGGAACTGAGGGAATGACGCAGACACAAGAGATGGTCTGTCTGCCTTTCACCTGCAGATTTGGGAGCAAGTTGGGGCAGGGTTGTCAATGTCTCTTCTTGGATTGTCACAGCAGCAGTTAGCATCTTGCTCTGAACCAAGTGTACCATCAGCAAATGTTTCTTGACTCTATTGAAATGAAGATACTTAATTTCTCCCCCACAAATGACTACTTCTGGTAGAAATCTTCCTTAATAATTGCTTGTAAATCAAAGTCTTCACAGTGCCTTGTAAGGTCCCAGAACCAAATTTGCCTCCCAGTTACCTGTGACACCTATTAATTTCAATAGAAACAACATGTGTTTACTTGAAGGGAGAATTTGATTGACAGGATATTGCACAGCACTTAATGACAATTCCATCCCTTTCAAATGCACAGTTAGTATCCGTAATCATTGTTTAAGAAGATTACATGTCACATGAATTAGAGGTTGTGGAGTCGGAGCCACCACCACCGTTTGATTGTTGTATATTATCCTCTTTTCCAGTTACTTTCCTTCTCAGATTGACATGTTATTCTTATTTTCTGGCACCTGGTTTTCCAGATTTAAAAGAGAAGAACTATAGCATAAGATATCTATATTTTTTAAGATTGAAATTATTTTAGAATTAGATCGTAGGGAGAAAATTGTTGCCAAACATTGCTCCCTGAAGATCTTTCCACATTGGAAGCATTGTCAGCCCAGAAGAGTTCACTTGGGGTCTGTCTGCTACGAACCCCAGAGACCCATTCTGGCCTCATGCACCTGTTCTCTATTTTCCTAGCACCATGCTCAGGAAGGAAATGTTGTCTCCTGTTTAGCCTGCGGTTTGGGATCTGTGAATCATCTGGATATCCCTCTGAATGTGAAAAAGTATTTCAAGCAAAGAATAAACATGCAAATGTTTGGTGGCTGGGTGCTGCAGGCTCTAGGCCGAGACGTATCAAAACAAAAGCATTTATAAAACTTTCTAATAATGCTGTTATCTACACCAACATCATTTGCCTTTTTCCCCTTCTTTTCCTGTCTTCTCTATCTCCTCCACTCAGACTGTATGATAGAAAAAATACTAAATGAAGGGTTTGGAAACTCAATTACTAGATTCAGTTCTGCTACTGACCTTAGTACCAGACACAAGTCACTGAATTTCTCTTGGGCCTGATTCCTTCTTTTGTTCAAAAAATATCATAAACACTACTTTACCTGGGATTCAGAAGTGAAGAAAACATACATAGTTTCTGCTGTTATAGGTTCCTTGCTGACAGTCCGGTAGGAAAATGAGACATGACCGCAAAGAGACAGAAACTCAACCTCGTGATGAGAAGTCAGATATTTGTCTATAAGTCTGTGGCTTCCTTGTCTATAAAATGGGTACAGCTGGGTGCCGTGGCTCACATCTGTAATCCCCGCACTTTGGGAGGCCAAGGCAGGCAAGTCACCTGAGATCAGGAGTTCGAGACCAGCCTAGCCTAACATGGTGAAACCCCATCTCTAGTAAAAATACAAAAATTAGCCAGGCATGGTGGTGTACACCTATAATCCCAGTTACTTTAGAAGCTAAGGCAGGAGAATTGCTTGAACCCAGGAGACAGAGGCTGCAGTGAGCCAAATTATGCCACTGCACTCCAGCCTGAGCTACAGAGAGAGACTTTGTCTCAAAAAATAAAGTGAAATAAAATGGATATACCATTATATATGCTATATTTCCCAGACATTAAAGCATTATTTAAAATGCAGCATCTGCAAAGGGAACTAGAATAGCCAAAATAATTTTTAAAAAGAAGGACAAAGTTAAAGAAGTTATACTATCTGATTTTAGGACTTCTAGAAAAGCTACAGTAATCAGGACAGTGTGGCAGTGGCATAAGGACAGGTATGTGGATTAATACAGCAGAGTTAAGATCCAGAAATAGACCCACACTTACATAGTCAATTGAATTTTGATAAAGTGCCAAGGTACAAAAAGAACAACCATTAATAAATTAGACTAGAATAACTGGATCTCTATATTAAGAAAGGTACCTTGACCTTTTCCTCACAGCATACACAAAATTACACTCAAAACGGATTGTAGACCTAAATCTGAGAGCTAACACTATAAACCTTGTGAATAACATATAGTAGAAAATCTTTGTAACCTTGGGTTAGGTCAAGTTTCTTATGTAATAGATTACAAAAAGCATGAACTGTAAAAGAGAAATGGATAAACTGGGCTTCATAAAGAATTAAAACATTAGCTTGTCAAAAGACTCAATTCAGAAAATGAGAAGCCGAGGCATTAATTAGGAGAAAATATTTGCAAGGTAAATAGCTAACAAAGGATTTGTATTCAGATAACGTTAATTTCTCTTACAACTTAATAAGAAAACAATCCAATAATAAAATGAGAAAAATATTTGAACAGACAATGCACAAAAGAAAATATATGAACTGTCAAAAATCACATGAAAAAATGCTTAGCATCATTGGTAATTAGAGAAATGTAACTTAAAACTGTAATGGGCTACCACTACACCCTCGCGAGAATAGTGAAGGTTAAAAATACTGGCAATA